TCTGCTGTGACCCACCTATATAAGACTATAAATTACATTTCTTGCCACCCACTTAGTTGCCACCCAGCCATGCGAGTCTAACTACATGGTTGATCATTAATTACATCGGAGTCTCTTAATGAATCTGCTTCAGAATGTCCTTGTAGTAAAGCTGCTCCGGTGTGTGGGTACGGACGCTGGGTGTCGCTGTGCTGTGGAAGCAGCTGTGTTTTGGTCCAGCTGGACCCTCTCATCATCATCGTCGGCGCTGAGCCGCCAGTTGCCTAGTGACGAAAAACTATCGACTGCTGCTGATTTCCTGCGTTTTCAAAATCTCACCGCTGCCACTCAGCTAGCGCCAAGTTTTCAAAACACATTTCATATGTTTATTTCGTCTTCAGAGCTGGAATATGAGACGCAACAACACCGTTAATCTCTCGGGGAGTGTCATATAACGTTTTCAGCGTTTCAAGTCGCGTTATGACGAGTTTTGAAGAATGATGAATAATTATATCTTCATCAGAGTCGTTGGGAAAGGGAGCTATGGTGAGGTGAACCTGGTGAAACACAAATCCGACCGAAAACAGGTGAGAAACGAGAAGCTTGTATGGAGTTCAACACAAGCCACAGCAGTTAAAATATGCAACATCTAACGTTATTCACAAATGCTTTTGATGTCGCTCTACATTTTAAAACGCTCAGGCTTGATGCTACAAAGAGCTAGCTTAAAGTTAGCTAAAGTCGGCTAAAACCTCACAGATTTGTTTACGCTCTTGTATATCATGATTGAGATTTATAAAGCGCAATTAATAATGTTTACACATAACGTTACACGGTCACGGTTAATAAAGATAATATATGTAGTTTATTGTAGGGCAGTAACACTTTGACAGTTGACAAAAGTTGTTTCTTGCCTGCAGTGTTACTCAAAAACTCCTGAAGGGTTTGAGGAACTATTTAATTTAACCTCTGAAACTGTATCTGCAATTAATATTAGTGACCGTCACGGTGACTGTTATCAAGTTTCAGGGTAAATTAAGCCCTAAAACAACTAAAATTATTCGTTGAAGTGTGTTTATTTCAGCGTTTAATGGCTTTAGAAATGTATTCATTCATGTGTGGATCACCAACAATAACAAGATTTGTAAACCCCTGGTCTCTATCAGTCATTAGCTCTTGTTGAAATAATACAATATAATTATGTTTATGTGATTACATCTGAGTTCAGTTCATTGCCATCTGGTTGGCGACTTTACATGTTTTCTTCCTCGTGTTTTGGTTTCTGGATTTTTCATGTTCACAAGTAAAGAATGTCAAAGATTGAATAGCTTCCCAATTTTCAACTCGGTGAGTGAGTATACGTTTTGCTTGTGTTTCAGTATGTCATAAAGAAGTTGAATTTAACCACCTCTTCTAAGCGGGAGCGACGCGCTGCAGAGCAGGAGGCGCAGCTTCTGTCCCAGCTGCGACATCCCAACATTGTGACATACAGGGAGTCTTGGGAAGGAGATGACCGCCAACTGTACATTGTGATGGGTTTCTGTGAAGGTGGTGACCTCTATCACAGACTTAAACAGCAGAAGGGGGAACTCTTACCTGAGAGACAGGTGGTGGAGTGGTTCGTCCAGATCGCCATGGCACTCCAGGTGCAGTATATTGCAATTTTGAAAGTGAGGTCCACCTGAAGTCAGACGATTTTTTCTTTACATGAGTACAGCATGTTTAAAGCCATTTTGCTTTCCAGTACCTACATGAGCGGAACATTCTTCACCGGGACCTTAAAACACAGAACATCTTCCTGACAAAAACCAATATCATCAAAGTCGGGGACCTTGGCATTGCACGAGTATTGGAGAACCAGAATGATATGGCTAGCACACTCATAGGGACCCCTTACTACATGAGTCCCGAGCTCTTCTCCAATAAACCTTATAACCACAAGGTATTTCGGTTATCTGCTCTTAATGTGTGTACTTTATTTCTGGATTAGAACTGCTTTACTAATGATGATATTTTTTCTCTAGTCAGATGTATGGGCCCTGGGTTGCTGTGTGTATGAAATGTCCACACTTAAACATGCCTTCAACGCCAGGGACATGAACTCACTGGTTTATCGCATTGTAGAAGGAAAGGTGGGATTCATCTCTTTAAAAATGTATTTTTTTAATTTTATCAGGTATGCAATTCAGGTCTAGTTTTAACTGTAATTAGTTACACAGTCCATTCTTTTTTCAACAAATTATGTCTGCTTTTCTGTTGAAAAGAAATCACTCTTGTTGTACACATCTATATAATATAGTTAGTTTTATGAATCTGAGGTTTGTTGATCAGCTTGTGAGCATGTCAGCAGAGGACAGTGACATTTTTAGGCTGCGGTTGAATGTAGTCGTGTTCCTGCTCCAAGTAATAAATGTGGGAATTACTGGTAACTTCAGTCAGCTTGTCCAGGATTTTAATACTTGATTATTGTCCAACATGTTGTTTTTCTGAACCTTCATTATCTCATTATCTATATATTATTAGACATATTACAGGAAGGCAGATTGACAATAATTTATACAATTTTTGCACTCTTATGTCATCAGCTGCCACAGATGCCCAGTAGATATGATCCCCAGCTGGGAGATTTGATCAAGAGCATGCTTTGTAAGAGACCTGAAGACAGGCCTGATGTCAAACTTATCCTCCGGCAGCCCTACATCAAAAGACAAATTGCCATGTTCCTCGAGGCCACTAAAGAGTAGGTGTCACTGACAGCAAACATCCTTGCTCTTTATTATTAATTTATTTAAATAGTTTTAAATAAATAATAATTTTATGCGAAAACTTTACCAAATGTTTTTTTCTTTTTCTTTTCATTTTCGTTGTCTGTGTACTTTAACTGGAATCATTTTCTATCATATTTATCTCCATCCACTCCTTTTGGTGCTTCATCTATTGGAAAACAGATTTGAGCTGTTAGCTTAGATGCTTGTGTTTGTTTTGATTTTTCCACACTAGAAAAACTGCCAAGTCAAGAAAGAAAGCTGTGAGTGGCAGTGGTGATTGTAGAGCCAACAATGCCTCGTCTGTGGTGTCACCTCAGCCAAAACCCGAGAGGCTGCCTCCAAGTCCTCAGCCTGAACCTCTTGCCAGGGTGAAACGGGTGAGTGACTGATGAATAGCAAGGCTGATTTTATACTGAAAATTCTCAAGTCTTAGTTTAGCCACTATTATTATTTTACAACTTGTTATTTCTGCGTATTCACCTATTGAAATGTATAATTTTATTTTATTTGTTATATATTAGAGCAATAGTGACATATATGCATTTTTTGTTATAGTCAGCAATGACTATTCAGTATTTTGCAAAAACGAAGAAGGTATTTATTAGCCACTTGGCTGTCATCAGCAGTAGTGCATTAGCCAAACTTCAACAATGTAATTTATAATTGGCAATGCTTAATGAATCTGATTCGGATTTTTAATTAACTGGCGTTTCTTTTTGCTTTCTCAATTACATTATTCTTACTTGGTTACAGTAAGCAGTTGTTTCTGTTCTGTGGTAGAAACATTATCACTGATACAATTTTTTTCCCTAGAGTAGTAAAGCTGCAAACAAGTGTAATTGGATTCAAAAGCATTTTGTAAACACTTTTTACCGTCTTTTATTATGACACAGAATCAATAGAATATATTAATAATCAATATGACCAATTCTAAGTAAGTGCCATTAATGTGTATTTATTCTCAATATGGATGTGTAGATTTATCCTGGTCATCAAAGTAATAGGATGTCAAAAGCAGTCCCGTGGTTTGCTCTGATTACTATACTGTTGTGTACCCAAGCCTCCTCCGTTCTCATGTCAGGCAGGGAATCATCAGTGTTTATTATGGTTTGTGTTTTTCCCTTTCATCCTCAGAAAGAAGAGAAACCACAACAGCATAAAGTTTGGAATGGCGACACTGACTGTACTCCAGTCCAAACACCTCCACCACCCAAACCCTCTTCACCTGATGCTCTCAAATGCAGCCTTGCATCCCTGGCAACTGTCAGCAACATCAATATTGATATCCAACTACAGGAGGATGAGGACCTGTTGCAGGTGCAGAGGCCCCAGTCAGTTGTGTCACACCACTGCGCAGGTAATGAACATGTGACTCACAGTGTGCACAAAGACAGCAAGGGAAGAGGGAAACCCGATCCTTCTCCCCCTCCTTCTCCAGTTAAGCCCCCTCTGAAGGCTGTATCAGGTGTTGGCAGTAGGGGAGGAGACGAGAGAAGGGCACCCAATGGATTGCTAGACATTCAACCACAGGCCACGCCAAACCCAGGGGATACATTTTCTGTCTTAGGGGAGAAGCAGATGTCAGATGTGGATGACAAGGATGATACCATGGAGTTACTTCAAGAGGCTAACATGCAGAACCCAAAGCCAGAAGAACAAAAAGTGGCTGCTTTTTCTGCCCCTGAGAGGAGATCTGCATACAAATCTAATATAGAAAATATTGGAGTGGTTGTGGAAGTGAATATGGACAATAAAAATGACACTGTTACCCTTCTCAAGGGAGCGCCAATACAACACCTATATACCTCAGACATCCAAGTAAGTGGTAATAACAACTGAGTGATACATTTGCTGTTCATTCATTAAGTGTTCTTTACCATTTTTATGTGTGTTAATTTATTTCTTTGTAGGAAGTCTTAGAATCTACTGAAAAGCTGTTAGAGCCAGTCCCTCCAACGCAAGTAAGAATTAAAATTCTAGCACTTATTCTGTGAACTGATAAAGCCCACAAGATGCATGTACCACTGCTAACACCCAATGAAACAAAGTGCATTATGCTTTTATGGATTATGTGGGAAGATTTTTGCCATGGTGGAAAAAAAGTTTAATTGTGTTTGTTTAGGAGCCTGATCAGGTGGAAACTTCGTTACCGCTCAGTAAGCCAGGTCTGATCGCTCCATGTCAAACTACCCCACAATTTTCATCAGAACCATCTATATCACAGCAGAACAGAGCAAGGGACATAAGATGGACACATGGGGATCAGGACAAGGTAAAGCTCAATACAGTAGTTAATATTAGGTTGCTGTAATTCAGGAACTTGTAGGGCTAACAGCATTTTAGTCATATAATTATATAATGTAATATTACCTTTATTATTATGATAACATAACAACATCAGAAAAGTATCAGAAAGATTTTTTTTTATTTTACTAGAAAATCTCAGTTTTATGTTCTTTCAGATTCATAGAGGTTAATTCAGTTAGTCTTGCATCATCTTTTTTGTCTTCTTTTAGTCCAAGTTGGCTCCTCCTAGACCTTTACCTCCACCTCCTATTGAGAGCAGAGCAATGGAGGGGAGGAAGAGGAACAGGAGGAGCACAGAGAGCAAGAAAACTGGCGTGGTTGCAACTTCCACATCAGCTAGTTCCTGTAAAGAGGGATTGTTACCACTGCCACAGGTGAGACTGAGTGCTCTTCCACTCACATACTGTTATAATAATAACCATATTGCCCATTTAAGATATACTTTTTGAATGAATCTGCTTCATCAGACTAGATAACACTTTTATCAGTTGGGCTGTCAGGATGATGTACTCTCTCCCCTCAGCCTCAAAGTTCTGGACTGTAACTCACCCATTCCACCCCCTACATGTCCAACAGCACCGGCCAAAAGAACTTTTTATGGAAACATATACCCATGCACACATGCAGGCCTACCTTCAGCACCAGCCACTTTGTACAGAATGCTACTTTAAAACTGCTGCTGGTTACTCATCCTTTGGATGCACATCTTTTCACTACTATTTGCACTATATTTCTTATCATTACAGTTTTGTTCTTGGTCAGTGCCTTTGTAATTTTATATTGAAAGTTAAATAGAATCCCAATATTTTTTGTACATTTTATTCAGCTCTTGATTAATGATTTGGTAGTGGCCTGTTCTTGCCATTCATCAAGTGGGTCAATTTTATTTTCAGGATCGTCCTCTGTCTGCCAGAGAGAGAAGGAGACTGAGGCAGTCCCAAGAGAGTGCCAGTCAACCAGGTACTTACTGTCTTTTCCGAACTGAAACCAGAACTTTATAGTAAGACCTAGAAGAAAAAAACAGTAAGTGGTTTGAATAAAACAATGGAAAAAAACAGTAATTCAAGAAAATGCACTTGCTTTACGTACTGTTGAACACACTGAGAAACAGAGATGCACATGCACATTTTAAGGGAAATATTTTATTCATTATTTTGACTCCTTAAAAATAGAGAAGTAGTTATTTGATATATTTTCCTTGATTACTTTTATGCTCTTTTCCTAGGTGTTGGTGCTGTAAGAAGGGCATCTTATGATGTCACTTCCACCAATGCTGAGCACTACAATGTCCCAATAACCAGATCTGTTTCAGACTCTATTGCTGGGGCCAACAGTACGGTACAGATACCCCTTTTTCATTGTCTACCAATATGTGAGGCTAATCTGTTAATGTTATTGGATTTAAATCAGGAGTCTGTGTCACAACAGTGGGATATGTTTTATTACAGCAGTATAAGTTGCTGGAACGAAGGTCGGATGACGATGAATGCAGCTCATCCACGAGTTCCACAGAGCGTTCAGAGGGAGACTGCAGGGAGAGGTGAGAAAATAACATGAAGTGCAACTCTTCTCAATTCAGATATAGTCACCTTACTGTATAATCCATGATTTATGGATCATCTGCAGGAAGGCTGAATCCAGTGACATGCAGGATTTAGTCCACATGATGACCCAAACTTTGAGAATGGATGTTGGAGATGGTGTCAGCGAGGTGGACAAAGGCAGATCTGGCTCTACTGCACTGCCAGAATTTAAACTGAACAGGAAGTACAGGGACACCCTGGTGCTTCATGGGAAGGCTCAAGAGGAAGCAGAGAACTTGTCACTTGGTGAAATACCAATAGGTTAGATCAAACTCTGTTGTCATCAGTCAGTCATTCTGGAGATTCCTTGTGTTTACCAAGTCTGTGTCTCCTAAAGGCTCAACATCTGGTCCAGCCAAGATAAGGAGAGCCATAGAACACCTGAGAACAGATGTGGTGAAGGGCCTGGGGGTCAAGCTGCTGGACAGAGTCCTGGAAATCATGGAGGAAGAGGATGACACCAAGCGAGAAGTACGGTTTTAAAGAAGTAAAGAAGTCATACCACCCGCTAAAACTGCTAAAAACTTTCAGTAACATTTTTAAGTGGTCAGGACGAGTAACTGCATATAGGAGCTGGGGCAATGTGTTTGTTGGTTTACAGTTCAATGGGTCACTTCGTTTAATGTGTTTGTTGTTGCTGTGCTCAGTGCTTTGAAGATACTTAGGGATATTACAGTTTCCCTAAGTTAAATATATTGCACACTTCTATACCAGGTCATAAGGATAGTAGCCAGGTGTACAAGTTACAAGTGCATTAACTGAACATTTCCTTTAATACTTCTCCCATGTGCAAACAAACCCAGTTTGCCTAGAACTCAAGCAGTTAATTCACATGCCCTTTGTTTCCTAATTAATGTCAGTTGGTGTCCTTTTTCTTGTTGCAGCTGTGCCTTCGTGACCAGATGGGGGATGAGAAGTACCAAACTTATGCTGTGATGGTGAGGCAGCTGAAATTCTTTGAGGATATTGCCTTCAAGGTTTAGGGAAGAACCATGTATATAGGGGATCATATACATTTGCATTTTCTTGACACTACTTGTGAGAATTTAAACACAAGAGACATTTTAACAGTTCTTGCCTATCAGGATACTTTGAAACTTGTACTAAAGTGAAAATCAGTTGATATTGTTCATGAAGATAAATTTGTCTCCTGTTAAATACAACCTTGGTTGTGTGGCATTGCCACCTTCCTCCTCCTGTTTGCATGCAACTTGCATCTCATTTGATTGCAGGTTTTGTCATTGGATTTCCATGTGGATCATATGGAATGACATGTAAAATGACATGTAAATATTGTTCAACTTATTCCACTACAAACAGAATTTGAAATGAATCCTGTATTGTCCTATGCAACGATTTGTCATGTTATAGCACCATGTCTTTCTACTTGCTGTACTGGATACTCATTTGTTTATTTATAATGCAAGCCAGGATTTCAATAGTTGTCAATAATCTCACTCCTGCTGCTCTGTTGTATTTTCTTATACACAAAATAATGTAATGTAGATGCATTGTAGATAATAACTTTTGAATTATTTCTAATAAATCCTAAATGTATTTTTGTTTGCACCTATTTTACATGATGTTGAGGAGAAAAAAAGAAATTCATCTTTGCACCCATAACAATGTTCAGTATATCCTACTGAAAAAAAAAAATCTAAATACAAATGAAAACATCCCATTTATAAAACATAGACAGTATTAGATGTTTATTTGGATGAACAAGTATTTCATTATTGACTGATAAACACTGTAACAAAGATTTCTTTCTAAATGCTTCAGATGTGAACCATGAGAAAAATAATTCCCAATATAAAAAGGTGTATTAACAACTAGGCAGCCATAGTTCTGAGTTATTTGTGCTTCTTCTTCTTGAGGCTTTCCTGAGGTTTTTGGCTGGACTCCCCACTGGTCTCTGGTACAACTGGCTGCCAGGACAGAGGACTCTTTCTGTACATAGGCCATGGGGGCAGGGTCAACTAAGGTCAAGAAGAGAAACAAAAAAAATAAATGATATTGAAAAAGTCTTGACATGGTATACAATGACAATCTGTGGTGTTGTGTCAACAGACAAGTGTACAATGAGAAAAACACAAAGCAAAACTTACCACACAGGACACAGCAAAGCCAGCCAAAACTATGTATACTGTCCACCCAAACTGTTCAATGATCAGACCATACACGAATCCAATCACCTGGAGAGAACATGCAAAAGATGTCAGCGGAACCGACTACTGGTAAAAACACGATACCATTATTATGGGATGTTTGGAATGGTTAGTTACCGCTGAGATGAGTATTATTCCTTGGAAAATCTGTTCAGCCAGCTTCTGGCCTTTATAATCCTGTAACACAACAAGATAAACACCAGGTCAGTACAGTGCAAGTCATCATGTGTAATTGGTCTATCTGTGCACAACGAACAGCTGTTGAAACTTCATTGCTGCCTGATGGCTTCATTTAAGTAGTTTCGCGAATCTTACCAGTCGGTCAGACAACATAACAGTCATGATAACACAGAAGTTATAAGATGATGTTACGTTAACAAACAGCTTCCACTGTTTCACGAAGATTCGCATAAATATCAGACAGCGACTAACAGCTACTGACATATTAGAGAAATTGTACATTTTGGTATATAACTTTGCTGAATTGTAACACTTTGCTGGCTGGTTTTGGATGATAAAATACTAGGCTATCTAGCAACTGTTACCATTGTAACTACAGCATCCACCTGCTAACGTTAGGCAGGTTAGCATTAGCTTAATAGGAAGCATGAATTAAACACGGGTAGCATAAACATACAACTCCACATAAAATGATCTATTTACGTCTTACCATGTGCGTGGGGATGGACTTGAATATAGACAGCATCTTTGCACAATGAATGCAGAAGATTGAGTTGTTTGTGAGTTTGGACCTAACGGGCGCAAATAAGAAACAGAAGCCGTTTGACTTCCGGTCTCTAAAAGATACGTCGTGTTGTGAAAGACCCATCCGGGTACTCCCAGGGTGTTATAACTTGTGTTAGCTGCGCAGGTTCACAGATGTATAAATAACACGGATCGGGTTAAGTGCTAGCTTTGGTTGAGAAACTTGGTTTGTTGTTAGTGAAAAGCTTTGACTGCCTAAATTACTTGCCTGTCTGTATGTCAAGCTACTTTTAGCTATTATGTTCTAAGCATACACTTACTGCCTTGTATCTCAGTCATTAAACCATATGTAAATAATGAAATGTAACGCTTGATTATTTTTTGTACGCTGGAAACAGCAAGTCGATGCAATTTTACAATCAGGCAAACGGTTAGACAGCTATTACTACATACAGCAATCATAGAAGATAAACTTGTTGATGTTGAGTTGGCAGTTTGGCTGTAGCGTGAATTACTTTTGCCTTCTTATCGGGTTTCTTTTTAGACCTGACTAAACCCGCACTGTAAACAGCCAATGAAGCGACGCGTATTAAGCGTATGAACACACAGTTAAAAGCCACCGGTTTGCAAATTGGCTCGTTTATGCGTTTCGCCACGCAGCCGTGCAGCCGCAATCTGAGGGATCGCCTCAGTCCTTATAAGTCAGCAAGCTGATACATCTCGGGCTTTATTCGCATCAACTTTTAGCTGTTTCTATATTTTGATATTCATCAGACGGGCTGGAGAGACGCATGTGGCCGTTGTCATGACACTGAGGAGAGGTGAGTCAGTCTGGATCAAGCAGTTGCTTATTTGCATCTCTAAAACAGGTCATCAAGTGTAGATAGGACAATCTGGATGGAAAACAACAGTTTAATAGAAACTGGTAGACTAAACTGAGGCAAACTGGAAACTGTTTACATCTAATACTATTTTTCCAGCAAACACATGCTTAATTATTGTCCTTTTAGTCCTGTTGCCCAGTGTACCTCAGCTATTATTAATATCAGCTCTTCACTGTGGCTTTCAGTAAACGTGGTCATCCTTTTTCTGCTGGCTGTAGCCTTCCTCATCATAGTTCAACGAAATCTCCTCAACCTCGGTGACTTTTTACACATGGAAAACCTAGGTATGATCATCTTTGTACTGTGAGTAGTATACTGTATGCCAACTGCTCTGTACCTACACCCCAATATCCAGTGTATTATTGTTGTTGTGTATATCCTATCAGACAGGTTCAGTGCATTCAAATGAAACCATGGAGGCAATTTGTGAAATCCCAAATGTATCTTCACCCAGATGCAGGGGGGATTCTTCCCTTTGAGTCCGAGCTGTCTCCAGACTTCAGACCTGAATCGGTTCGGAAAGGAGAGGAAATCCCTGTCGTCATCACTGCTACTGGGGTGAGACTTGGTGCTGTGGTTGCTGCCATAAACAGTGTCTACCAGAACAGTAAAGCCAATGTTGTCTTCACCATTGTGACCTTGAATGACACAGTGGACCACCTAAAGTAAGACATTGAAGTAGGCATATCATTATATTTAATTAAACATATAAATGCAGGTCAGATTTGATTTAAGTGACCTTTGTCTGACACAAGTGTTTTGTTTTTTTGTTGTTGTTGTTTTACCAACAGAGAGTGGTTGAGTAAGACAAAGCTAAAAACTGTCAAATACAAGATAGTTATTTTCAAGCCTGAGCTCCTCAGTGGGAAGATATCTAAAGATCCTCAGACGCTGGAGGTTGTAAAACCGGTAAGACAACTGAATCTACTAGCACTGTCCCAGATAAGTTAAGTTCCTGCTAATCATTTTCTAATGGTCTATTTTTCAGTTGACTTTTGCCAGATTTTATCTGCCTGCATATATACCGGAGGCAGAGAAAGCCATCTATTTGGATGACGATATCATTGTACAAGGTAAGAAAACACAGTAAGACAAGGTAAAATATGTTTTCCATGCACTATTTCACTCATTAACTCTCAAAATTATACATGTTATAGTAAAGTAAAAGATATTCTGAAAGGGTATTAATGAATAGATTTTGCCTGTTATTTGGGATATCAGGGGACATTCAAGAGCTCTATGAAACCAACCTCAAACCAGGACATGCAGCTGCCTTCTCAGATGACTGTGATTCAGCTACTGCCAAGGGCATCATTCGAGGGGCTGGAAATCAGGTGGGCATCTCTTGCATGTTTTTTAGAATTTTTCTTGTAGAAGATGGTGACACTTGACTACATAATTAATCTTTTTCAATAGAATAACTATATAGGTTTCCTGGACTTCAAGAAGGCGGCTATCAAGAAGCTGGGAATGAGGGCCAAAACATGCTCGTTCAACCCCGGTGTCATCATCGCCAACCTGACTGAGTGGAAGATCCAGAACATCACCCAGCGGCTGGAGCACTGGATGGAGCTTAACACACAGTAAGTTACTCACAATGGTGAAATGAAGGGTGTATATGAGACAGTCTTTTTCTGCTAAATTTAGACAACCGAGAGGAAAAATTAAGAATTTTTAAGAAAGTTGTGTATTACGGTAATTAAACAAAATTTGAATCCAGTGCACTTCTTCTGTTAGCATTGAGCTAAATTTTGTTTGTTTCCCCAGGGAGGATCTGTACAGTAGAACACTGGCAGAGAGTATCACTACTCCTCCTCTCCTCATTGTTTTCTACAAACGTCACTCCAACATCGACCCCATGTGGCACGTCAGGCACCTTGGTAAGTTCTGGTTAAGTGCTGATAGAAAACTAGAAGAATATTTCTGCCTCCATGCCGGCAATAACCGCAGTCAGAGGCATTATGTTTTCTGGTTGTCTGTCCGTCCATCCATCTGTCCATCCATGAATGCAATATCTCAGTATTGCCTTGAGGGAATTTCTTCAAATTTGGCACAAACATTCACTCAGACTCAAGGATGAACTGATTAGATTTCTGTGGTCAAAGGTCAAAGGTCACACTGACCTCACAAAACACGGTTTTGGCCTTGTGAACACAATATCTCCGGAACTCCTCAAAGGAATCCCTTCAAATTTGTTACGAATGTCCATTTGGACTCAAGAATGAACTGATTAGATTTTGGTGGTCAAAGTTAAAAGTCACGGTACTCTCACGGTCTTGTGAATGTCAATACTGGCTGAGTAGCTACCTATGACTTGTGTTGCATGACTAACTTGAGAAACCTTCTGAGGGTTTTTTAAAGAAATAGCAGTACCTTCATTTTAACCCTAACCCTAACCCATTATTAAATGTTGAACTATTTTCTTATTGATGTCATTTTGCTGTTGTATAACCATCTGGTCAGTTTAATTCCACCAGAAAGTATAACTGATTTTGGAAGCTCCATTCTTTGTAAAGGATGCAACTTTTCTAGTTACAAGAAATGATGATTCATACAAAAATAACAATTTTTGGAAGGTATACATCTTTAACTGTAATACCAGGTGATTCCTGCATAACTTAATGTTTTTGACAACAAATACAACGGACGGTATGGCACAAATGTAAATTGTCATTTAATGGCTGACCTTTGTTTTCCAGGCAATACAGGTGCTGGAAACCGCTACTCCCCACAGTTTGTAAAAGCTGCCAAACTCCTCCACTGGAATGGACACTATAAGCCCTGGGGGAGGACATCCTCTTTTTCTGATGTGTGGGACAAGTGGTTCATTCCAGACCCCACAGGGAAATTTCATCCTGTGCGAAGACACACAGGGGACAACTAGACTGAAAAATGTGCTTCAGGAACCTTCAGACCAACCAAACCAGCCCTGACCCAGCAGGACCTCGTCGTGTGATATCTCAGGAACAAAGTAAGGCTTCTTCACTAGCCAGCCCTGTGTTTGACATCTGCTATATTATCCTCTGAACATGCAAACCTGTGTACTCTCATTTTCCCTTGAACACACAGAATTTTTCTATACCCAGTGAATCATATTGTTGTCCTTGAGTGCCCTTGAGATTGCTTTGACTCACATTTCTCAGAATATTCTGATTAACTATTGAAACTGTTTTGCTGAAGAGGTATAGACTTTATTTTCCTCCCTATATGAGCAGTGTTTCGTCCTGAACATCATTGAAGAGGTGTGGCATCTGAACACTACGACCTTAATAGAAACGTATGCGTCAGTCCCAGTCAGCAGTAATGAGATACTTTGTTACAACATGCCAAGTTCACCATGTACAACTTAAGCCATCATTGCCAAAGTCATTATGACTTGAGTAGGTATGTTTACATGCAGCTATTTAATGACCAATTTGCTTTATTTTAATACTAAATTGTTTTGGAGTTACCTCAGATGTAATTGTGTTGCACAGTTGGCCCCACAGATTATAACTGCTTCAAAAAGGTGCCCATCACGGTTATCAGCTTAGTCTGAATTGTAATTATATTAACCACGTAGACGCTACTAGATGTTACCTCAATTCAGTACTTCCTGTGGAAAAGTGATGAATTTTATTGTTCTTAATTGCACCTGTTTATCAGACCCTAGTTTTAACACCTTTTAAGTCTGTGCTCAGTTCAGCATTTCCATCAAAATTAAGACAAAAATGCTATTTAAGTCTATTCCCTCTAAAAACACACTACTCTGTATGATACCCCAATATAAAGTATTATAGTAAGTAAGCCAATACAACTTGAGTTAATCTCAGTCAGGTTAATGATGCTCCAACTATCAGTAAGTATGCCATAAATGAACAGTAATTCAGTACAGTACTGCCTCTCCTGCTGTTAGTGTGGCTGACTCTTTTGAGTTTATACGCAGACCACTACGCAAAATGCACCTAAGCAGAAACTGAAGAACATAATGTTTGCACAAATTTTCACACTTCACCACGTCATTGTCAGGATTTTTATACGTGACGAAATGCATTCACCTTGTTGGTGTAAATACTTTTGTACAGTACATGAAATAAAACTTACATTTTCATCATTTATGTCTTGTGACTTTATTTTCCAATTATCTGTAATAAATCTGGTGTTTTTCAAGTTTTGCTGTTTTCAAAATTGCATGGAGTTGTTCTCTGCAAAAGTGCCTTGAAACGTAAGTAAAATAAGTGAACATAAATAATTGAAAGCAAATGTTAAAATATTGCTTCAGTATAACAGTTTCAGCTATAGTGATTGTTGTAGCAATTTTAAATTCATTGTTTTGGAAAGATACACTAAGATGTGGGCTTTGTAGAGGGTTTATTACATTTATAGAAAGTCATCTATATACATTATTCTGCATTGACACAAGATATTACAAATGACCTGTGGACATAAAGGAAGAAGTAGTCAGTGATTAAATACATAACCATCTAACAGACACTGTGTCCATTTCCTGGACAGTGATCAGCCCCAGACAAACAAAATTCAATATTATCAAGTGAAAAATGTAGTCTAAGTGAAAGGTTAGTCCTTATCTGGAAAACCGTCCCATTGTCTTCCAGGTTTAAGCAGTGAGGGAAGGCCATACATTTAACTAGACTAGTGTAAGTCTAGTCTGAAACCAGTCAACTAGCAGGACAGGCAGAGATGGTCAAAGGCATCCTGACAGTGATTCCATATGTACTGTATGGTGATAAGTCCAGGTCTGTACCCCCATCAGACCATGTGAGTACAGGTGCTAGGTCAGAGGCGAAGCTCATTTAAAATCTGTGTTGAAGTCATACGCATCATCTGTTGTAGCTGTAGAAAGGCTGATGTCAATAGGGACAGACTGGAACTGCACCTTGTTGGGTTTTTCTGCAAAGATGAGACAAGAAGTAAAAATATGACCTACTGGGTGTAGATGTTAGTAATGAAGAAATTAAAGGAATTAAAAGAAAAAAGAATTTACTTCTGAGTGACGCCTTCTGTGGTTTTTCCAGTTCTTCCGTTTTATCTGGCTCCTCAATTGTTTGTTCAGGCTGGAAGAAAAACAGATGGTGAAGCTATTAAAATTCCAACAATCCTCCAGATAGAGTGATTTACAAAAAAATGTCCAGCCAGCAAGATCAGAGTTGGATTAGAAGTCTTCACAAACAAATCAAGACTTGCATTTTTGTCCTCATTTCCATGCTTGGTCAGGCTGCTAGCATTATCTGAAGCAGCTGTATTGCCTGAAAGTTCTCCAAGAGAGAAAAATATATACAATTACCTCATCATTCTGCATAGTTTCACTCTCTGTGGCTGCAGGACCAGGTTTTTCTTCAGTGATGTCGCTTGCGCTCAGCAAGCCTGCAGTCGGGCCTTTAGAGATGAAGCTTATACTGCTGGCCTGGTTTGGAAATTTGACACCTACAAGAGCAAAAGTTGTTTTCAGCAACACACACAGAAGTGACTGCATTGTTTTTATTAAAATACATTGACAAGTCCACAGTCTAAAAGCCCAGTAGTGGCCAAGATGTTAATTTTTTTTTTTTTTTTTTAAGGCCCAGTGATCTGGACTAAGACATGGGACGAGGGAACAATGCAGTGGCTATAACTGCAAAGTGCCTATGGAGTCTAAAAAACCCATGTGGATGATTTTCAGACATTTTTAAAGCATATTAGTCAACATCACAAACTACAGCATGAAAAAAAATCATCCATTACTGACTCAAAAGTCCCGACAGCCTCAAGAAAACTTGACCAAATCTTCATCGAAATAATTCAAATTACATGCAAGTACCTTTCAGAGTTTCCTCATTGTCCATTTTCAGTTTGGTTAGATCCCAGCCTTTCTGCATGTCGCTGACCACGCTGTCAGACAGGTATGCAGGGAGGCTGATGTTCTCTGGTGCCTTACAGTAGTAGCTCAGCTTGGCTCTGCGGAGACAAACAAGAGTCAAGATGAAGATCAAGCAAGGCATGAAGCACTTCGCACACTTCACCATTATATTTACATATTTGCAGTTTTCCAGGCACAGTGTTTGGATCAGAGTTGGATTAGAAGTCTTCATAGTGAAATTCAGAATTGCATTTTGTCCTCATTTCCACACTGATGCACTGCAGCTGCCCATCCTTCCTAACCCTTTAGGTAAACACAAACTCACCCTGTCCAATCAGCAAGGAAAGCTGTGGCTGCCTGCTCTGTGTTAGCGACTCCACCCTTCTGCAGATAACCACGCTTTTTGGCGAACAACGTTAAAAACTCCAGAGAGTTCCTGAAGTCGGGGATGTTGAACTGAAGCATGATCTGAAACAGTGAAGACAGATTACATTCCTTTATCAATTTCATTTCCAAGAGAATACCCTAATCCATTTTAGGTCAGTTTACACGACACATCTCTCTTGTGATGGAAACTCTTCCTACCTGAGTCTTGTCACACTGTTTGAGCAGAGTCCTGACAGCCTCCAGCACACTCTCTTGGCCCTCCTCCACCTGCAAGCTCCTCAGAGCCATAGAGGCCGGTGGGTTGGATGGCGATGCCACGACTCCGGGGCTGTCTATTAGCTTGACGTTCTTTAAGATGTGCACCTCCTGCATGGATCTGCAAGGTTGGTAAGAGTTAACAATTGACCATGGGCATAAACTGTAAAAACATTATCAGTAATTCACATGATGTCTCAAAGATGTGATAGAGAATTCTGCTAAATATTCAGTGCGATAGAGAAAATGCTGTAGTTTTGAGCCTTATTTGTCACTCACTTTGTGATACCTCTCTTGACTCCAGTGTTGCAGGCCAGGATCCCCTTCATACTGTTGATAAGACTGCTCTTTCCTACATTAGGAAAACCTGAGGGTAGAAGAAGATTATGTCAAAGCTTAAGATTCAGACTATGTACTTTGAACAAAAAGAAACAAGAAAACAGAAAACAATATATTATGTCCATACCAGAAAGCTGCACAAGACAGTATATAACTATAGAAATAACAATAATACTAATAAGTCATCTAAACCCAGCTGATGGAACACAATGTCAAAGAAAGTCACTTTGTTGTTTTAGACCAAAAGAAGCTGTGCTTACCAACTATGCCCACTCTGAGTGACGCTTCCTTCTCTGTGTTAGCCACATAAGTTGTGAGGAGCTCAGTGAGGCAGCTGATTCCAAAGCAGGCAGCTCCTCTGGATTTGTCCAGGACTTCATTGGAGGCCACTATCCTGCTCTTCTTGGCTTGCTGATCAAGACCGACCCAGACAAGTAAAATTACTTTTAAGTACCATCCACAAATAAACACTGTTTTTTTTTAAAATGTAATTCAAGTGTCTTAATAATACATCATATAAATATTGGGGGAAAAAAATCTATTAATAACTAACTAACTAACAAACTATTGGATTTAGTTTTGTTCACAAACACACACACTCAACTCTGTTTATGACAGAGCTGATAAATCTGGTGGTTTGTTTGTTACTCTTGGAGGTTTTAACCAGTTACAGCAGCACAACGCAAGCTGCTGAACCTTCTCAGTCCTCCATATCTCACTGACATACAGACGCAGCATTAACAGCAGTTATTTCTAAGTAATAGAGCAAATCCAGTTTATCTGCATTCTGTGACAATTTTAAAGAGGCTGGTCAGACTGACAATTTGAACAAAGGATGGGGGGGTGAAACTTCATTTCTCACTAAGGGGAAAATTTGGATACTGTGCCTTTAATCTTCAATTATTTATCCCTCAGTAATTTGCATTGCAATTAATTCAAATTCTGACTATAAAAGTTCAAACGTTATTAAAAAAATATGGATGGAGTGAACATGCAGTCATCAAAATAAGGTTTAGAAGGCTTTAGCTCAAAAGCTTGTGGCTGATTTGATGAGCAACAGAGGGTCCCCAACCAACAACACAGCTAGAGTGCAAAAGTGTTTCTATAAAGTATTATATGTTCAAGGTCTAAACATTCGTTTATGATCACTGGTGTGTAAAATGCACCTCCTACCACTGTTTTGTCCCGAATCTGTGTTGATGCTTTAAATGCCACAACTGGAAACTCCTTTTGTAAACACTGTATCCACCTCTCCACATTCTCCTTTGGTACCAAGTCTACAACACAGAATGGTTAACAATACACGATTTAAAGTACAGTCAATCTACATTTAATTAAAATTCAGAATAGACCAGAAACCTGTTAATAGGCGTGTGTGCACTTAACTATAACTTAATATGGCAACATGTTCATTTACCTATTTTATTCAAAACCAAGAGCAGTTTCTTGTTGCCTTCCCTCCGCAGCACCTCCTCCTCCAGCTGTGGACACCTATACCCCAAAGGATCACGAGCATCAAGGACTTCTATTACTACGTCGGATGCATCAATTACCTGAGGAGAGGGAGATCATATTGAGCATTGACATGAGTTTTAAGAGCATTAAAGCAATTTCTTTTACTGTAAAACAAATAGGGTTGGCTTACCTTATTTAATTCACCACAAAGGAACTGTTTTGAACTCTTGTCTGGGGCAGTGTGTTTCTCTGAATGCTTTCCATTTTCATCCTTTGTAAATGAGACAAATAAATTAAACTTGGTCCATATCAAAATTATTAAAATTCGATATTACAGATGACTGCAGTGTTTTCCTATTACCTGTCGAGCCTTCTTGGCCTTAGGTTCAGGATCTTTACTTGCAACCTCCTTTTCCTTCTTCCTCTTTTGGGCTCGCTCCTCTCTTTTGGCTTGTTTCTTTCTCTCTTTTTCTTCTTCAATCTGTGGGACAGGAATTTGGTTAAAAAAAATTGTTATACAATTATATATACAATATATATATTTTCTATACAACTGTACCAACACAAGGACATAGAAGCGCACTGGCCAGCCCTGTTTCCCCAGATGCCTCTTGGGGAGTTATACAGTCCAGATGAGCTCCATTAATTAGTCTGAGAGGTAACACTACATTTATACAGGATCATTATTGTGATAAACTGCATGACTGCCAACCTTTAGCCTCCTCTCCTCTGCCTCCCTGAGAACCTCCTCTTTGAAGGGAGCACTGCTGGGCACGCCGGGGTCCTTCTTCACTCGTTTGCTCACTCCTTTCTTCTTCAACTCTTTCCTCAGCTTTCTGTTATGCTCCCGGACCTAAATACCAAACACAAGCATGCAACTCAAATTCTTGTCGGCAGTAAAAGGAGTTTGACAGAAAAAATAGTAGCCGTAGTAATCTGGTCTCGTTCATACAGGCCTTATCCTCCATTAAGCTGTAAACATAAAACATAACTTAAATGACACTTACCTTCTTCTGTATTTTATAACGTTTGGAACATGAGACCCGCTTACTTGCTTTCTTTAACTCTGCAGGCAAAAATAAAGCAGTTTATCGTCAGTTGAACAACTGGCTAAAGACGAAGCTAATACAGAGCAAACAGTGGCGGCTGTTAGCAGTTGGCTTTTTAGCTAGGTGGATTAACCGAACGATAAAGTAGTCTCAAAGATTTTTTTCTTTCTTAATAAGCTCATATATTACTGGCACATCGTTATTTGTGTTTACTTACTCGGTCGCTTCATGGTGCTGTTGAGGACCTGCCAATGTGACTGAAGTGCTCTCACACGTGGAGGACTGCACAAGTGTGAGGTTTTGTCACTTCCGCTTCTGCCGGCGAGGAGCGGATGTTGCGCCACCTGCAGAGCCGGAGTGTTTATGTTCATCTGGAGAGAGTTCAGTCAAAGATACTCTCTGGTTAAGTACAACAATGCACGTGATGATGCTCTTATTTTATGTATTTATAAAAAATAAAAAAAATTCTTAATTAGCTTATATTAGATCAAGTAAAATGACACTGTCCTTCAGATTTTCCACTGAAGAATTAATTGGTGGTTAAAAACAAACACATAATTGTTGGAAAATAATTTGAAGGTATAATTTACTGACATATTTATCATTGTTCTTAAATTTTATATTGCCTATTTTGTACTTTATTTTACATTTTAGTTTGTTTTATATTTTGATGACTGGGTGCTTGATTGGAGTGAAACTCTAATTTAATAATTTAAGATTATGAACTCTTGAGTACTGCAAAGTTGGTGTCGATCAGTGGTGTTCATGATACATTATACAGTATGATCCACTCACTATACTCAAACGGTGTAAGTGTTGGCCACAGGAGTGTGTCATGTAGTTAGATGCCATACTGAGGTGTTTATATTTGGGACTTCTATTACTCAGTACATTTTCACACAGAGATGCAGAATTCTTTGTTAGGGCTCCATGCAGTAAACCCAATGTCAGAACCAGTATTCAGTGGGTGCTTACACTGGGATGTCCACTTGTGCTGACATTCTCTGCTTTAAAAGTGAGAAGCACCTGTTTAAACTAAAAACCCACATACTTAAACTGTCTTTTTATTACTAAGCTTGATGCCAACCCATGGCCCATTTTCTTTTCGTGTCTTTCTACTTGTCTGATGCACTTATTGATACACTGATGACAATGTAATGATAAGTTATGTATGTGTATACGTTTTTTTTTCAAGAAACAGCCTTTATATGCTGACCAACACAAATGTGACAATGAAAACTATAATTTGCAGCCATATGACAAAAATAACCTATAGATCTCTCACGATTAAGACATTTGTGCAAAATATGGTGCCACTTTTGTTGTCACATTTGTTGCAGATTTCTAAATGCTACACCTTTCAACCTTAGTGTATATTGCTGTGCCACCGTGAGAGCAGCAGGTGTTACACTATAATCTGTAAATCAGATCTGAACGGTATTTCCCCACCTTAATCTGAACTAACCCCAAACCACCCGCCTCTGCCACTCCGAAATGCCCAGACCACTAAGGGAGTTAGCCAAAACTGAAACTGTTGAACATGTATCACAAAACGTGGGGTCACAGAAAATCTTCGGGGGGAAAGATGTGGAAGGCGAGGGCGAAGAAGAAGAAGACGAGACAACTCCGGGTCACGTGATTGGGTCGAGCATCTTTTTTTGGTCCATTTTGGATGATAGCAAGAGCTCCGTGCGACCCAAGAAAATGACCAAACTGCAGTTTTTAAACGTCTTTTTGACTGAGCGTCTCATGCTTGCTGCGCAGGAAATTTACAAGTCTGTCGAGGACACGATTTTGGAGTACCAGGAGGAGATAGCAATCAGGGAGCGGGAGAACGACCATCTGAGACGCAGGCTGCGAGACGCTGGAATTGAAATATGGCCAGGTTAGCTCGGCTGAAAGCTAACGATGCAGCTTATGTCCAACCAGTCGAGTCTGTGGGTTGGCAGTAGGTACTGAAGTGAAAGTAACTGCTTATAGGGCAATTATAACAATGCAATAAATGGCGTCAACATAATGCTGCCCCACTTCTGAACAAGTTAACTTTAGCCGTTAGCAAGCTAGTTGACGTTAGCTGCTGTTGTTGTGGAGCGGCTAGCGCGTTAGCAACCTTTGTTCGTTAGCCAGCCAGCTAGGTTAGCCGAATAGCTTACACCCGGGTTAGCATTCAGCTACATCTGAATTTTTGTGTGAATGTTGATATAGTCATTCTACTAATTCACGATTTACTTGACAATAGTAGATAGTTGCGAACGCTACAGCTAACCAATAATACACACTGTGCGCCGTTGTGTTATATTGTTTGTTTATTCCTAATCTTAAAACATCCATCTCCTTGTAGACCGACAGCTGAAACTGCTGCAAAACTGTTGCCAAAGCTGCCATTAGTTATTGTGACTGTAAATACTTAATGTATTCTTAATTTCAGTTCATTGGTACAGATTTTCTTCACATACTCTTTGAGTTCTTATTCTTGGCAGTGTCGAAAACAACCATAGCTGCTGTGAGTTAATGTAACACAACACTTAAGGGTCCAAGAGGGTGAACACTTTATATAGGCTTGGCATACAGTGTGATTGACTTTGAAATACTTACTCAGGATTTCTTGGACTGCTTCATAGCCAAGTTGGGCCACCTGCCTGATATTAAGACATCCTTAAAGTAAGACGTCCTAACATAAAAAAATTAGTGCAATTTTATGAAATAAAGCATTAACCCTCATGGGAAAATGGGTTATGTGCTTTTATGCACAGCAAATGTCATATATTTGAGTGTATCTAACAGTTTCCCGGGGGAAACTCTGGCTCATTAGGCATGTTGTCACCACAGCTGCAATGATTCTATTAAAAACACTTTCTGTTAGTTGGAGTTAACAAAGCAGAGAGTTCAGCTCTTTGATCCTTTGATTGAAAAGGTTGTCTGGTAAAGGGATGTTTTACAGTACGCTGCAGTTACCATTGACTCTGCCATAGCTTTACAGTCTATCCCCATTGTCTTCAACTACAACTAAACACCAAGTCAGTTTTAATACGTAAATATATCCATTATTAAGCAAACTATGTTGTGAACTGTGAACTAGTTCAACCAGAGTTGGGCTGTGCCACAGTGGTGTTTCCTACAGTGGAGTTAACATTTTTAGCTGAACTTCTTCATCCTGTTGTGTTCTTAGATCGCCCATCTATGGCGCTGTTGGACGAGGAGGATGGTGAGCATCCAAGGCGTGAATGGAGTCCCAGCATGGGGCATGAGGAGCGTATTCCCATTCAAATTAAGGATAAAAGAGATCTCCGAGCCACACAAGGAGATGATCAGCTTCGTGGGCATGGCTCCTGCAGCACACCAGAGAACATGTTCACTCCTCCACGTGTTGGAAATGAATATCCCCAGGATGGCCCCCACACATCCAACCTCCCTCAGAGTCAAGGTGTGGAGAACAGAGAGAGGGATCCTGGCTCTCGAGGGTCCTCGAGGCATGTGAAGGCAGAGAGTGGAGGAGGCCACAGAGGCTCTACTTCTTCCAACAGCGGCGCCCAGCCTCTCGCACCAGTCAACCCAAACTGCTCAAATGAGAACAACATAGACATTATTGGGGTGGAGAATGGAGGACAGATGGTTGGTGCTAAGGGAACTGGAACTGGAGCTAACAGAGCACAGGCCTCTCATATGCGCAACCAAGGAGCTAATTCTGTGGACTGCCCCCATCAGAAATCCCCCCTACAAGGCCACATGTCATCTTTCTGCTGCAAGGTTTGTGGTGAGGCCTTTAGTCACATCGGCCACTTGCATGTGCATGTACAAGTGCACACACGGGAAAAACCTTACCGCTGTGGTGTATGCGGGAAATGCTGCAGCTCCTCTGGCAGACTCCAGGAGCACCAGCGTAGCCACACGGGAGAAAAACCATTCCGCTGCCAGATTTGTGGAAAGGGCTTCACACAAATGGCTCACCTGAAGGTACACATGAGGATCCATACAGGGGAGAAGCCATACAGTTGCCCCGTGTGTGGCAAGTGCTTCAGCCGTTCTGACAAAATCAAAAGGCATCTCCAGACCCATAGCCGTGAGGGAACATATTTCTCAGGGCAATGATGCAAGTGTGTTGTTAAACAACTCAGTTTGTGAATCATATTGATGTGGGAAACTTTTCTACAAAAAGCTAATATCGCTGCCATCAAGACAAGGCTTTTTTTCTTCCTACTTCCTAAGAACTAGGGATTCTGCAGCTCTTAGAGAATTTTTTTTAATCTAATCTAATACTTCTCCACGCCATAGTCCCTCAATAGAATTTGTATTAGCCAGTTTAGTATGTCATTTACTTAATTTTGTACTTGTCACTGAGTAATAAATCTCTGAGACACAATTTGAGTTATTAGCTAGCTTTTCTGAATAATCTAACCTTTCCTTAGTCATATAATTAGCATGATGAAGTCTTCCACACATACCTTGAAACTGAGATGCATTAATAAATGCAACAATGTTCAGCACAGTCACGGCTTATTATCAGCCAGTCACTTCATATCCATAAACTCACACTCGACATCTATGTTGTAAACATTATTTTTGGACCTAAAATTAAGAGTCCCCATATGCGTGAAATCATCTCCATTTTGTTTCTTAACTGGAGGATTGATGGCCTGAATTGTTTTCTGGATTGGTCTAACACTGCCAGTAGGTTTTTTATGTAGCAATTTTAAATAAAGCAATTTTAAAAAGTTACACAAAATTTAGGCCAACAAAAAGCTAGTGAAATGCCCCGATTGACTGGATTTGACTGGTTTACAAAGAGGAGTCTGATCCGGCACTTATCTCAGTTTTTTTTAGTCATTATTTTAACATTATCTTCATTTTCTTCTCAGTGCTGTTACATTGTTGCAGAGCTAAATACTGCCATCTCACATCGTCAGTGCTTCATGTTGTCCATTGAAATATGGACAAATCTATTGTGAGACTGCTCCACTATTTTGTGAAATAATGTGATGTTCTGTAAAATACCACTAGTCTCAATTTACCGTACATTTAGGAATGTTGTCTTTTTTTTTAAATGACATGCACTATAGCATCTATCCAAGATGATGCAGAAATTCACTCTATAATGGGGCCATACAGTATTAGCTGAACTTATCTGTGGTTTTTCAGGGCTCTCAGTCTGCAAAGATTTACGTTCACCTGTGTTTCCACCACAGTAGTCATTCACATATGAGGTATTTCATGGAGTGGCCTCAGCTGTGGTTGATTTTCAGAAGTGATGGTCTGTTTATCAAGGAATCAGGTACTTCCTCTGCTAA